TCGTCCACATCCCAGCATAGCGAGGCCAGTTTTCGCTTCGGGTGCACCGGACCTCATGTATGCTGGAATGACCTCCTCTTCGGCATCATCTAATTCACATGATAGCTGATGCCCGTCCTCGCCTCCCTAGAGAGTCTGCCTGAGATGTTGGCGACGCACAGTGCTACAAAAGTGGTCTTTTACCTTTTGATAGTTGAGTTGCTTTCACTTGTTGTTGTCTGCAGCCGTACACCTATCAACTTGTTTTTCCGTGGTTGCGTTGTCATGCCGTGGCTGGAATGGTGCCCAGACCCGCAACAACCTGATGCCCAGTGGGTCAAGATCTTTCATCCGGGACCATGGACGCCTCAAGAAGAACATGATGCTCCACCTCCTCCGCATACTTTCAGAGAATGGCGGGAGTTCTATGCTCCCAACCAGGACTCAGACGATGGGCAAGTCCAAGTCACTACGTGGTACAAGCGAGACTGGGCCACAGAGGGCTATCGGAGAATCGCTGCTCCTCACGCTGGTCATGAATTTGATTCCATGTATCCCTCCGATCACCATAACGTGGCCACGCAGTCGGCGGCGTTGAGTATATCGCCGGAGCTGTTAGACGCGATTCTCAGGTCCTCGGATGCGGCTGATTTCTCCACTGAAGAACTGATTCGTCTCCAGGAGGGGATTTCTCAACAACTGACGGCCCGCGCACGTCAGACCTCCCATCCTCATCAACCAGTACGTGCATCGCGTGGAAACACACCATCGGAGACGATTGGGGTCTCCGACCCCTACACGCCCGTGAGTCCGTCCGACAGAGGCCAAGACAAGATGAGGCCCGTCTTCGAGCTGACTGACGACTAGCCGTGCATGAGCAGCGCAGCGTACAAAATAAGGGTGGCCTCTACACTTGCATGATCTTGCTTTGCTGTTGTTTGAACATGGTTGTGCATGGTGCTTGTTCATCTACTAGCTGGATCGGAGCCCGCGACCATCCTTGCCTCTTGCCTTGACATGGACATCGATGATTCCAAGCAGTATCCATGGCTCGAATATTCGGTCTGGCATGATCAGGAGTGGGTGCGGATATACACTCCGGGACAACCTCAACGATGGCACCGTGGTGACGCCGTACCTGATCTACCTGAAAACTCTTTTCGTGAATGGCAGCGGGTGACGGATCCCGAAGCGCCAGTCCAGGCATGGAACATCCGTGACTGGCAACACCAAGGGTACCAGCGCATTCTGTCTCGGATGGAGTCCTTCGCAACTCACGATTCACAGGATCAGACTCTTGGTCAAGGTCGGAACTCCGATGCCGTTCAAGTTGAGGAGACCTTCACCTATGCCACTCCGTTTTCTCATGGTGATCGCCAGGCTGCTTCACAAATCGCTTCAGTCCTCTATGGCGACACTCGCAACGCTCAACGTGGTGATCTTTCGTTCCCGTCTTCTGAGCGGTTTAGGGCAGTGTCTCGCTCCCCTCGCCGTGGTGGATATTTTGGTCAACGATAGTGATTTGAGTTTGAGCATGTGATCTTCCTGCAGGAGAAAAGAGAAACCTCGCCCCTCGTAGAGGGGCGTGTGTGTGCGGAGTGACAGAATGCCCTGTCACCACCCTTTCTATTTCGCAGCAGGGGCGTGCAGCACCTTTGGCATACTGCACGCAATGAAGCTACTGCCAAAGGTGGGAAGGGTGTCCAGACGTGGACACCTGTACCTGCGTCGTGATGTTGCTGAAAGTCCTTTTGGTCCCCTCCCTGAACCGCCGTTGTTTTGTGTTTCCCTGTTAAAGTACCTACAGGGAAGCCAAGTGCATTGCGAGCCGAAACTCATCGTACTCGAGACTTGTCGGTTGTACTCGAGACTCATCAGTTGTACTCGAAAGATTAGCGCTCTCCATCTGGAGTTCAAGTGTGTGTGTTTGTTTGAGGGCATCCTTTTCACCTTGGTTTACAGGGAAAGCAAAGGACAACCACTTTTTTTGCGTGGTCCGCCTATCTCTGACTCATACCCTTTTACAACTGTGGAAACCTTTCCCGGGAGCAACCCCCGTGAAGCTGGTGCGTGAGAGTTATTCTGGTTCTCCCCTGGAAACCAAGGCACGGGTGTCGGCAACCTTTTGCCCAAAAGCGAGCGTCGCTCGAATCACTTTCCGCTTGCCGCAGAGGCCTGCTATTCAAAAGAGCTTTCTTCCGGTTTCCCGAAGCCCAAGCATGATCCCGAATGAGAGCCAAGTTGGGGTCCCAAAAGGGAATCCCTTTTTTCGGGGTTCTTAGAGCCGGGGTTCTGATCAACGGCTTCCGAGAACCTTTCTGGGTAGGGCAGTGCTGCCTCTCCGAATGTTTAGGGGCGGGTGCGTCTTTTTTTGAACCTTTGAAACGCGAAAGGGAAACCAGCCGTTTGAAGGCTCCAAAACGCGAACGGCGCCGAAAAGTTCCCGAGGACTGGACGGCGTCTGGACTGATCGAGTGGGGCCAGTGGCTGGCAACGCAGGCAGGGAAGACGCTGCTCTACTTCGGTTCTTTTTTTGGCCGGGTCTTTTTTGCGGGTGACCTCGGTTGAAGGGGAAGCCAAAGGAAAGCCATCTATTTCGTGGGACACGTCCAGATGGTGAGCACGTGTTTTTCGATGTTTGGACACATCCAACTTGTGGCTTTTCAATGTTTTGACACATCCCGATAGTAAGCAACCCTCAAGCCTGGTTATGGGGCCCACCATCATCTTGCAAGGATCCTTGACCATGGCTCGCATGTGAGCAACTGGTAGGACCAGAAGGCCCGCGGACCCCCAATTTTCTCAAAAAGAATAGGGACCTCTACAGGATGGATACTGGAAACCAAAGGACCCCGCTATTTTTAGAGGTTCCCTTTGCTTTCCGTCATCCAAATGCATGAGCTTTGTTAGGGCCCAGCCGATAGCTCCAAACGAACCCTTCGGTCAGAATCCCAAGGTAAGAACCTTTCCTTGGGGTGCGGGGGTTTGCCTAGATCCATTTAAGAACTGGCTGCTTAAGTTGCATCTCAGCATGAGATCTCACGGGATGAGACTCTGCGCACTTTCCCACCCAGCCAGCTAGCCAGCCAGCCAGCCAGCCAGCCAGGCAGCCAGCCAGCCAGCCACCCCCGTTTTGCTCGCTCGTTTTCACGCGAGGCGATGCCGCCCGAAGTGGTGCGAAAACTGGCGAAGCTGGCCATGCAAGGCGGAGCTTCGGGCGTAAGGCCGCAACCCCACTGGCCTCTGCTGGCGCTTGAATCCATGGATTACTTTGGCCCGCGGAATTGTCAGAGAAGGGCGGAATCCTCGAGAGTCCATGGTCCATTGTCCAAAGGCTTTCTTAGATTCTTATGGTCTCTCTGCGGTTTCTACTAGCGGTGTTGGCGCTTTCTTGCCGTGATTCGGATCATGTTACCGTCGGTGCAACGTTGAAGGAGAAGCTGTAATTGAAGCGCATGATTTATATTCGTCACTCACTCACAGTATCACAGGCCCAGCAACACCTCTAGCAAGGGTTTCACAGTCAACCAGAGCTTGTGTTGGATGGCCCGCTCCACGCTGGGTTTTAAGAAGACTGACGCCATGAGAAAATCAACCACCCCTCTACCGGAGGGTAAAAACCAAAACTGGAATCCTGCACCCTGACGCGGGCTCTTGGTGGCTCTGGTGACAACGCATGCGGCTGAATTGAGCTGTGCGTCTATTTGAACAATGCCTTCTTGGATGATGGTTTGTGTATGCTGGTTTCGATTTGGGTATGTTGTATACAAGCCAAGCAATCCGAAAAGGACACCGCCAAAATGATGCGGCTCTGTACCAAAACTGCTCCCGGCTTTTTGGCCGAGTCCCAGAAGTCATAGCCATGGTTTGGTTGCTGTCCATGTTTGGACTGCCCGAGCATGCATGGTCTGAGTCATTTGAGGAATACAAAGCGCAACTTGGCCCCCCGGCCCGTAGGGAACTTAGACAGCCAGTTGTAAGGGTTCCTTGTTTGCGGGGCCTGTTGACGGAGCGTTTGATCGCATGACACGTCTGATTTGCAATTTGGATGTGGGTTGTAGAGCGTCTTGGAGGTCATCTATTTCCCGCGTGTGGCCCTGTGACACTTCTGGAGTGAGGCTCACAGGAACCAACTCTCGGATCACGCAAACCAAATCAAGAACCGTGTCAGTTTGGTTTGCCGCAGTTGGGCCACCCGCTTGAGCATCTTGACTTCGAACAAACATGTCAGAACCGTGGGTCTTAAGCACTAGCCGTTTTTGCCGGTGATAAACGCTCCGTCTCGGGCGTGCAGTCTTTTCCCCGCGGGTCGGTGGAGAAGGAGACCACCCGATGCCTCTGATATCATTGGGGATGCTTCCCACCCCCCTGTGCCCGCAAGGCACAGATTGCAGGTGCCTCTCAAATGTTCTGTGGTCCCAAGACCCCTTGACTTGAGGTTAGGGATGGTCCTGGTTGCGGATCCTGAACCACAATGATTCTTAAGAGCATTGGGGTGTGTCTCTTTTAAAATGGCTTCGGTTTTCCTATGGTTTCCCTCTAAAACCAGAAACAAAGGGGTCCCACCCAAAAACGATGACAAGAGCCACACATTCGGAGCGGAGGTGACAAGTCCCTGTCCATTGACCTGACGGAGCTGAAAATGCCATCGAGCCTTGGTAAGCCTTGATTTGATGTGGCATTTGGGAGGGAGGGGTCCTCAACACAGAGACGCCCAATTGGCTCCGGCAGTACCACGTGACGTGCACAGTTGAAGCGGGAAGCCTTGCTTATTCGTCGACTTGTAGGGAAGGGTCCAACCAATTTTGGGTAGACCCTGCATGCTCATGTCGCTTGAAGGAACTTGTGAAGCCCGCCGCTATAGCCTTTTGATTGGCCGAGGGTGCCTTGGGGAGCACTTCTGGGAATTGAGCACAGACACGTGCAGCAGAGTCAGTCTTTGTGACCGGATCTATGTTGAAGTCTACGCCCTAGTCTTTGACCTGTAATCTTGACGCAGTTTTGAACAGTGCCACGGCGCCATGACGTCGGAAGCGGCCCCATCTTCTCCTGAAGTTGCTTTAAAGTCTTGTTGCCAGCTGGAAACGCCTGTTGTCTCGTTGAACGAGATAGCGATGCAAAGCTTCCTGGAATCCGACGCAGCTCCATTTCCAGGTCTGCTGGACTTCCACATAGGCTCAACAAACTGCTTTCCAGAACTTGTGTTCGAGTCTGCAATCGAGGAGGCTGGCTTTATTGTGCTTGTACATGGATTGGACTTCGGCAGCGGGTTCCGGCACATTCTTCATGAACGGAGGAATGGTCAAGGTGCTTGGCTCACAATTCGAGGTGGACTTGTCGCAATTGGCAAAACCTTTGGGACCACAGTTCGATCCGACTGGCTGCGCACTACTACAGTGGAACAGGTCCAGCAACTTTTCGACATCAACTTTGCAGATTTGCGCCTGCTCGCTGAACAGATCCATGGTGTTGTGATGGAGTTTGCAGATGTCTTAGAAGGCAACGGGCACGCAACCTTAGGCAGCTGGACGGTTGCTTCATGTCAGCAAGGAGCATGCTCCTTTGTCTCTGAGTTGGTGTCGACCTTTCCCTTCACGTTTCGTGATGCCTACGTGTTGAAGAGCAAGGACCTGCCCAGCGAATATGCAGAAGGCAGCCTGCCTGACGAGCAGGGTGTCCTGCTTGCCAAGAAGGCGCAGCTGGTGGCATCGGAGATTCACATACGCTTTAGCCGTGACAGCACTCTTGATCCGGCCATTCGGAGCCTGCTTGTATTTGAGGACTACGAGAAGCTGAGCGGCTTCATCGATAATGTGGTGGTTGCCGTGCTTCGCAAGTTGGGAATCATTGAGTGTAGTTCTCAGCTGAATTCCCGTATTGATGCTGGCGACACCCTCGCTTCAGGCTCATGGGAAGAGGTGTCTCTGCGAGCAAAGGCCCTCGTTGCCGTTCGTGACATCGTGAAGCGCTATAACGACAAGCACAAGCTCCGTGAGAAGATGCTCACCGCGGCACAGCTGTGCAACTACATGTGGGGTGGTCTGGGAAAGTTGCCAGCTTTTCGTGCTTTCCCCCGACACCATACGCCAACGACTCTGTTCTATTGATTCGTCCACCGGTTTGATGGCCACTTAGGAGTCCCGAGATCTCATCTTTGCAAGCTGATACTTGAGTCAACAGCCCCTTGTGCAGTGCAAGCAGAGAAAAACACCTAGCTGCGCTATGCAATATGGATGTGTCCTTTTTAGGGGACACCCACCCCCCCCCGCCCAGATTGATCAACAGCAGATTAGAGGGGTTCTCCCGAAAAGCGAAAGATTCCTTCCAAATGTTGGTCCCCTCCTATTCATCCACCAGAGGTTTACTAATTCTGGCAAGCAGTTGCGTCTTTCTGCTTTCCGAGCTGCCTCATGCACCGAGAGAGGGAGTGAGGGGGTCACTGCCTGAAGGCTGAGGTCGAAGGTGAAGGTCTCAGCTTGTCGCAAAGAACAAACATGGAATCTGGAAGAGGGCCTCTGCAAGAGGACAGTGGTCTTGGGGGTTCCTTTCAGGCTTTATGATTGTTTCGAGGGCAATAACTGAGACAGCGTCAAGATCTCAGATTGAGGTCTCAAGTTACATGCCCCGCGTTACTTTGCAACCTTGCTCGGGTCCTGTTTTTAATGGACGGTCAGAAGCATTGGAATCAGCTGTGTTCGGAACATATGGCAAGTAGACCAACCACAAACCATTGGACATTTATAGTGTTTCCCACTTGCACTTGGCACGGGCATTCACCGTACCTGTGCCCTTTCTGTGTCAATCCAATAGGAATCTGAAAGGACTTCTGGTTGAAAGCGTTTGATGTTGACATAAACCCTTGGACCTCAGCGGCGCATGACTCTCCGCACGGGGGCCAACATTTGAATGGTCTTCCCGCATGCTTGGGGGTGAAAGGGCGAAAGGCGCTTTTGACACCGCGAGCAACGGTCGGTGTTTACTCTTCATCTTCTGTAGTAAAAGGGGGTGACATTGGAACACGCACCAACATACCAGAGAATGGAGCTTAGTTACTGAATCCCCATGTCAGTTGATCAGTTGGGGGAATGAACATTGATCATGACTCATGTGACCAACCTGGCAGATCAATAGGGGTGAACTTGAAAGTGATCCCAGAAATGTTCCACCTGCAGATATTTTTTCATGGGTTCCCAGTACATGTTCCTCGCAGGCAACCGTATAATTGGGTACCCGCACCAACCACTGCCTGAAGGCTAGTCAACCAGTAAACGGCCCGCAATCCCTTCAAGACGCATGTGCACGCGAACATTGATCGACTGTGCCGCAAGCAAGGTTAGTGAGCATAGTCAGATGATATTGTATAATTCCCTATACCGTATTTTGTATATGATATGGCCATAGCATGACTGATGACATGTTTTACCTCTGTTCTCATGCGCTGTACTTTGCAAGCCACATCAACATGCTCAATCATTGAACGGAATGTATCTAAACACACTGGGCGTTCGACCCGGCTCTGCATTGCCTGCGTGGGTATTGTATGAAAAGGGATTTTCCCTCACAGAAAGATTGCCGCACTAGCCAGATCGCATCCCTGTGTACGGGCTTGCGTTTTTCTTTGAGGGTACCCTTTCTAGGTTGGCTCACAGCGAAGGCGAAAGGAGCACCGTCGGTTCCATCACTTTGAGGGCCTATTTTGCCACTCATAAAGACCCCCGCGAAGCGAGCCTCGATGTTTGACCAGGAAATCTGTGGTCATTGACCAGCACGACACGGCCGGGCTCAGACTCTCAGTCGACGCATCTTGGATTGAAATTCGCTGTGGATCGTGGCTCCAACCGGCGGTAGCCCACCAAACTCGAAATCACGCTCTCGAAATATGAGTATTTTGGGTAGAGTAAGTCGACCTTGGCCAGGGCCACTGTTCTCTTGCATTCAGTCGGCAGCATCTAAACCCGGTTGCCGGTTGGGTTTGGGCCGTCACAGGATGTTGTACATCTCAGTAGTGTCTTCAACACAGATCCTTCGCGGTGCTGTCCTTTGTTAGTTCAGGCATTGGTAGGGCGGTGGCTTGAAACATCATGGGTTCAAAGTGAGTTTCCTTTGGATGATGGTTCTAGGTTGGACATATGGCGCCTACCCCCGAGATCGCACCATGACTACGTGTGCTTCGGTTCGAGTGAGGTGACGCCGGTGGAGCTGATTCTGGATGGCCTGGAAGGAGTGCAGGCGCTTGGAGGGTGCCCTTTTGTGGTTGGTCAGAGAAGCCAAGAGGGAAGCCACTACTAGGTCCCCCAGTAGTGCCCTTCTCTCCCCTCTTTTGAGGGGAGGGTTCCCCTACTAACATAGACTACAGAAGAAAGGGTGCCCTTATTCTAACCTCTCTACTGGAGGACCTAGACTAATTGGACAATTTGTTGAAGGGCACCGCACAGAGTCGACAGAGTCGACAGTGATGTGGTAGGTACTTTTGTCATTTTGGTTTGAACATGTGTAGCCCGCCTGGAATGATGGCGAATTTGTCGCGCCCCAAAGAGCAGCAAGCAACACAGAGGCCTCTCTCCGTTCTGCCAATTCTTATTATACCCTGTATTGCATGCGAAGCTTCTGCCAAACCGCAAGAACATTCGGCAGTCAGCGCGTGGATACGATCGCTTCACTGATTCACGGTTGGCCATGCAGCCTTCATTGCATGGGAAGGTGCCCTTTGCTTAGCTCAAGCACCCCGCTTCCAGCCCCTTGGGTACCCGAGGCTTTCAACAGCGCATGCCAGGAGTATCTTGAGGGGTTACCTGAGCATTTTCATAGGATCTTCTTCAACCCCCTGTGGTCCCAAATGAAGCCTTCATCAGGCCGGAAGGCAGGGTCTTGTTTTGGGGAAGGGAATGCCTCACTCCCAAAAGAGACTTTCCAAGAAAGGCGATTCCTCTAAAACCGGGGGGTTTGTTGCAACCCTACCTATTTTCAAGCCCCAGTCTTTCTAGAGTGACTCATTGGGGTTGTCCACATGCGCGGAGCAGTGGGATTGATGCTTGTCCTTTCGCGAGGCCTATGGTGTGGAGGCCATCAGCCCGACGCAGGTGCAAGTCAACACCGAGTTCGGCCACGAGGCGTCGGGCGGATCGGGAATTAGCTTCCCACGAACGGGGCCAGACGTTTTGTTCCCCATGGGCCCCCTTTTTTTTCTTTTCTCATCGAACCGGATTTGTTTCTTATGACTTATTGAGTACATGTTTTTTGGTCAGTGGCACCAGAAGGAAAGAACTTCCGCCATATGTCCCTAGCAAAAGCGTCCCCGCGCGCTGAGTTAGCGTCGCGCCTAGGAGGACCCTGCCACGGGCCTCACGGTGAAGTTTGCGTTGCACGTGACGGCGGCAGACACCACCAAGTCGAATGCCCCCGTGGCGAGCATGCACCAAGAGATCGGCCGGGGACCCGGAGAAGACCGGAGATTCGGAGGGGTTTCTACCGAGTCAAGGTGAAAAACGAGAGGACACACACGAATGATTTTGAGCGTGACTTTTCAATCCCGGTGGTTTCCTTTCAAACCGCCATTTATGGAACAGTTTCAGGATTCAATGGACCCAGCCATCGGAAATCGCGAAAAGAACATGCACTTGGATTGATTGACCACGTCTCAGGCAGCTTAGGATGGGCGTCTTCATGTTCTTGTCTTTCTCGGATTGCGAGCTCACCTGGATAAAACAAGCTCGCCATGATGAAGGTCCTTTGCCTCGTATTTCAGACGGGGAGTTTGGGGATTTCCCACAAGTAAATGTCCAATTGCTTGCAACCACACGGGGCCTAGCTCTAGCTCCTTGGTTAAAACGGACTCAATTGCCCCTATCACCTGGGATCCGGTCACTCGCCCGTTTCTGTTGCTGGGTCTTGCTGAATCCACTTCGGGGTTTTGGGAATGCATCGTTGGGCATCCCAAGAAGGAAAACCAGAGCAAGAGCCACGCGCCAGCAGGCAAAACCCAGAGATCGAGCCAACTCCCAGGGTTATCCTTGGGACGTCAACCACTTGGTTTCTGTCGGCAATTGAGTCTATGTCCTCTTGGGAACTCAGCCAGGATCAAGACAGCACATGATATTTTTAAGCGACCCGGTTCCTTGCCTTCAGAACACAGGACCCACGCACATCAACCCGCGCGTTCACATCGACATACCCAAATCAAAGCCTTCACATCAACCCACCTTCAGAACATTTCACCCAAGCACGATTTTGGTTTTCCTTTGGGTTTCCCCTTCAATCAGCCCTTAAACTTGCTGGTTCTCCGCCGGGAATGAGAAATGGAATGACCCCCATAAATCGTCCCCTATGGTTTCCTTCCCTACCTATCGCACCAGCACGCAAAGGGACCCTTCCCCCCAAAAAACAAACAATAGCAAGGAAAAGAAAAGGACACCGCCGAACAAATCCCATTCCCTGCTGAGCACCAGCTAGTAAACGAAGGGTGGCCAGTCGGCGACTGAGGCTTCAGCCTGGCGCTGCTGCGGCCCAAAGGCGGCTTCCAGATGCGCCTCCCCTGCCGTGCGGAGATGCTGCGGGCCAGCCGCACGCTGGGCCAGTGGTTCATGGCGCCCTGGCCAGGGAAATTTGAGCAGATGTGGTCAGAATATGTGAACCATAAAGTCTTTTCGGTTTCTTAAACATCATAGTCATAATATGTTAAAACACTGCAACAGTTGGAAACCCCCATGTTCAAACGGCTTGGGCGAAGGATACATCTAGCGAATCCGACTTGACTCGCGCGTTTGGAAGAGGCCGGGACTGCGCTCTGTCCGAAGGGGTTAAGCGATGGAGCCCGTGCCCGAAGATAGGGAATCTCCTGATATCCAATCCTTCAATTGGGGGGGCAGCCTTGCCGCACTCCATTTGGGTTTGTGCTTCTTTGCGGGCACCCTTTTCGGGGTGGTTTCAAGCGCAACGAGAAGCAAGCCATTTTTGGGGCCCCGAGTGGCTAGACCGAGAAGCTTCCTCCCCGTCTCCCGCTAATTTCCGGCCAACGGCCGAGCGAAAGGACCCGTTGAACTGCGGACGGTCGCTGCTGGCGGAGACCCCGACCCTGGAGGACCTAAAGTTCTTTTGGGGCGCTGGTGCCGCCCGCTTTTTTGGAGAGGGAAGCCAAGTTTGGACCACCAAACTCTCAGGGGGGGTTTTATCAGATAGGGGAAAAGGACGCCCAGGGCCACTTCAGGCGGGGTTTTTCGGTGGTTTGGAGTGGGAACTGGGGAGTGGGAACTGCCCCCCAGTATTTAAAGGGAAGCCAACAGGACACCAATCAGCCAGTTTACCCGGCTCCAGTTTCAACAAGACACCTAAAGCTCAGGTTCTCCATAGTTGGTGGTGTGGAGTGGTGCGAATTGGGGCCCCAGTGCCTTCAGCCAAATGGTACCCAAGGTCTGAAACTATTGAAGCAACCCCTCTTGGGTACTAGAGACTGGTTATCTAAAGGTTTGAAACGACCCCTTTTCGGCTGTCCTTCAACGGGTAGAAACAGGTTGCTTGAACAAGACTTGGCTGAAGCCCCTTTTCGGGCTCTTCCGGCACCAGGTTAAGGACAGGGTTGGGCCGAAGCCCCCCCTACCCCCCAAGGAACCGCTTTGATCCGGAGGCTCTAGTTGCACCCGGTTCCCCGGTTTAAGAACGTCTCCTTTGGTCTTCCCGCAGGGTTTCCTCCAGTTCCATTTTCGGATCCAAAAGCGGCAGTTTCCATGGACCAAATTGTGATACCTTTTGAAGGGGAAACGTGAACTGTTGAATCTGAAACTCATTGACCCCCGGCTTAAAGAGTCCCGGAGAGGCTGGTTGTGCCAGGAGCTGAACATCAGCTTCGACGGTTTGGCCCGGCCTCTGTGACTTCGACGCGTTGTGAGTGGACGTGGACTGTGTGGTTTCTTGAGGGACTGTTCTAAGAAAGGTTTAAATGGACACCAAAAAAGACCCCCCCCTTTTTTCCGAGGCGGGGGCGGGCTTATTTTGACACCTACCCACAGCATACAGCCATGAATCTGACGCCCGAGACTGGCGATGGGTGCCTTTTGGAACACGGCAGAGGCTTGAGGCTTTGAAGCCGAAGGCTTTGAGGGGGTTCGGCTCCTACCTTGGATGAGAGGGACATGGGTCTCTGAACCAATCAGCCGCTCAACTCGTAGGACTTCCCCTTTCCTCGACCATAAAGCGTGAGTCCGAGGTCCCGTTTCGAGGCACTCCTTTCTGGCAAGCCTGCCTCATATCATGGCGTGTGATTTTTGACGGCGCCCTTTTTTTAAAGGTGCCTTAGAAAGGGAAGCCAGCAAGAAAATCACCATTTGGGGGTCCCCTGTGACACATGCCCGGACCCATCTCCTGGGCAATCCTCCATGAGCATGTGACCAGATGCTTCTCGAAACGTGTACTGAGGCGATACATTCCATTCACCGGCGGGGACTTGGAGCAAGACATCTCGAATCTCTTCAACCACCTGGTGAACATTTTCAACCGAATCTACCAGGCCTTGTTGACTGGAAGTTTCTACTTCATTGGGGTTCTGGTGATGCTTAGTTCCTAGGGCCGGCCAACATTGGGGGTTTTTGTTCGAGGTACACACGGCTAATGTTCGCTAAAAAAAGAAAAACAAAACCAGACAAATCACAGATTAGGCTTTACTAAGAGGATATTGGAGCAATGAGATATTGAACTATCACAACGAAATCCCCAACAAATGGATTGTGAACGGAATTTTGAACGGGGCGAGAACCTGGATGCTCTTTGGTCAACCCGTGTCCAGATTTTGGCACCAGACACAAGCTAGTGAGATTTGTTTCGCGACACCTTGCGTGCACTTGCAACAGTCTGGCTCCCAAATTTAAGACTGGGACTCCGATTTGTTGCTTCCATTTGCTCTGCTCAAGGGCATGTTTTTGGTTGAAAGGGAATCGATTTCACTACTGGGAAGCAAGAACAATCGTCTCAGTTTTTTTGCGGGGGGTCAAAAACGCAAATGGAAGTTGGTCATATCAAGGTATGGGTCCAAAAATTACATTACCAGGGGATCCGCTGGGTTTTAGTCCTCTTTTCCATTGACCGGGACCGATTTTTTGACCCACAGCCATATCTCACTGCGCTCCGCCGGGATTTGGTTTCGAAAGATGTCTCCAACTGCGGCGAGGATCGCCTGCCGGGCGCGATGGCCCGCCACTTGGACGCCAACTTCTTGGGTCTCCTCCAGAACGGTTTTTTCCTGGGGCAGACAGGATCAGACATATCAGACCATAGACTTTTAAGTACCCCAGAATTAGGGTAAGAAGAAGCTGAATCAGAAGCAGAATCAGAGACGCAAAGTTCTCTCCGGCTTTTGCTTGGCTCCCCAGTTCCAAAGTGATTCTTGGCGGTTCCCAGTGCCCTTGGACTTAGACGGATTTTAGTATATCGCACTAAAAGTACAACTTTAGCAAGGGATCAACGCAAGATATAAGCGGCAACAGAAATTCACATGTTTCTCTGATCATGACTTGGTCTTAAAGTGCCCAACCCCCCCATTCTATTATTTTTGGCCCTTAACGTAGTCCTTTCATCTTCTGCGCATCGCAGGTGAAGCTCTGGCCGAAGGATCGCGTGGCCCATGTCACAAAAAGGGTCTTTCGGTGTTAAGCTTTCATCTGAATGGTGATTCTTGCGCCAGGCCGGCGAGTTTGTGTCAGACAAACTAGTTCTCTGCATATTAACGTGAGCCCCAACAACCTTCATTTGTACTCTATTTGGCTTCCATTTTTGGTTGGGGTGTAAATGACCTTCAAGTCAGTTTTTCTTGGAAACCACTTTCGTCGGTTTAGTGAATGTAGACCCCGAAACATTCGTGAAGGTGGACTGGCTTCCAGGAGTCATTTGCGTTTTTCAACCATTGTCGCCTAAAGAAGCGCAGAGAAACATCGTGAATGTTTGCGGGCAGACACTGTCCTTTGTTTCATGGGCTATGTTTTTTTTTTTGGTTTAATGCTCCCAAAATTATAACGCAAAGTTGAGGCTCAAACGCAGGTGCTCCTTCAAATTTGTGTCACCAGCTGACCCCAATGCCCTCGGGCGGCTCTCAGGTAAGGTTCCAGAGGGGCCGGGGAGTGCCGTCCGGGGACGCACTTGGGCACGGGGGTTCTACGGATGCGTTTCCGCTCTGCGGGGAGGGAGTTTGTGGCGGTTCCGAGGAGGGTACCTCTTGCCTGAGTGCCTTGATGTGTTTCCCCCGTGTAGCAGCGTGTCGACATCCGGGACACCTAGCTAAACTACTGCTCAAGCGTCGTTGGGTTTCCCTTCCATCAGCCGCAGATACCATCTACATCTTGGTTTTGCCCACGGGGCGGCGCAGCTAGTTCTCTTGGCAAGCTGGCGTCGACTTGCCGCAGTTCCTGCAGATTCAGGCAGGCCAACCTCCAAAAACAGATTGACCTGAATGGTCGGCCGGCCCACCAGTGTGGGGACGCGGGACGCAGCACATGAGCTGCCCGTGCACAGTGATGGCTGTCGTGTATTTATTGCCAGAGTCCAGCTGACAATTGGCAGACCACGCTACATCTCAAACCAAGTTCCAGAGAAGCAGATTCAGTTGGGCGCTGTGCTTGCTGATTTCGCCACAGCCGGAAGCGAACTGGCAGCCTGCTCTGTTGGGGTGAAGAACTGTTGCGCTGGATTGGCGCACCGCAAAAGGCTCTACCACAACTTCAGTGCGCAATGTCAGGTCGTCGGAGCCAAGCCTGGCAGTGAACAAAGGAGCTAAGCTGAAGCTGGAGTTCAATTTCATCTGTCAACAACGGGCTTGGTTTGGCTCTCCCACAAAGCAATGTTAAACCAGACAACCAAGAGGTCTAGGCTGACTCAACTTGAACTGGCCTGGCCTATGGCCGTTGGGGTAGTTGTCAACCCTGACCAGGCCCCGAATTGCATGTCGGCCCCGACGCTTGGCGCCAAGTCACAGTACTGGTCGCAGCCAGCGTTTCATAGCGTCGGCTGCTTTGGCTTTGGAATTGCGGTGGTGCTTCTCACGGACTCAGGTGCGGATTCAGCCGTCCACTGGAACCAGGAGTGTTTGCTGAAAGCCTTTTAGCTTCTCCCACTGATGGATTTTGGGATACCGATCATGATCTCGTTGTCTATGACTTTGAGGTCAGGACGGCCCCGTTCTGCAAAGGACGCCCTGTGTGAAGAAGAGCTCTTCGGCAACACACCACGCTCCGCTTCCTGGGTTGCTTGGTTCAGCCTGGCCGGCCGCGATTGGATGAGTTGCTTGCTTTACACAGCAATGCCAGCTTCCGCTGCGGAGGTTTACAGCAGGAGAGGCGCAAAGGAGAGGCAAGGCTGTGCCAGCTCTGGCTGGGGCTGAGGAGGCCCCAAGCAGAGCTGCGGGGTGGTTTCCGGGATGATCTGGCGGGGGTTGTGGGGACGCACAAGGGTCGCATCAGGCTCCTGTGCAAGGAGCACGGTCGCGCTTAATTAGAAAAGAGATTTTGAGACCGTTTGCAATAATGTGCCTGCGAGCTGTTGCTTGCAGACAGCAGGGCATCAGTGCAACATGTGTCATTCCTTGGGGGCGACATTGCACGCAGCTACGCCTGTTTAAGCAGAAGGCGCGCGACGATGGTGGCTCTTGTTTCTGCTGCCGTCGTGGCATTGCTGTTGTTGCCCTTATTGATGTCTATCCTTTGTTGTGACTGATCTCGGCTTGCCCGTGACCATGGCTATTGAACATGCAGGGGCTGGTTTGTTTTGCGCTGCTGCTGTGTTGCTGTTGCGACTGCACTTGTTGTTTATTCCTGTTTCTGTCGTGTTCACTGCTGCAGTTTAATTATTGTCGCCGCTGTCGTTGTGTCGGTGGTCGTTGGTGTCGGTGCCTTCGCAAAAGCGCGCCTCATTCTGCTGGGGATATCGCGTGAGTTAGTTTGGAGGGTGCGCCTCTCAACTTGGTTTAAAGGGAGACGACAAGGAACGCCACAATGTAGGGGTTCCCCCATGTTGACAAAGACTTTGCGAATTGGCTGAAGTTTATGACCCCAGCAGCTTCAAACTTACTCCGCTGAGTCAGTGAGCGTAGTCACTTCCTGAGCCAACTTAATAAGTAGGTTGTATCCATACGGGCCAGCTGCCCCATTGGTTGTAAGTACGTAGTACTGAGTGGGTTGGACTTCCAAGTAGGCAGGCCAACAAGAAGCCGAAACCAGTCCGCTCACCAAAAATGCCAATGTTAGAACTTCGATCGCCGCTACTCAGTCTTTCAAACTGTGGTGAGGGCCCAAACCAACAGGCCCCGAAATCCTCATCGTTGGCCTTCAGGACTTGCCACTTCTGACCGGGGCCTGAACTTTGTGAACACGCTACTGGCCCACCACATGTCGCCCGCCCAGTGCATGAATGCGGCGGAAGCCGAGGAAGCCATCGCAGGACAATTGCAGCTCTTGGCTCCCAAAGGGGGGGGTTCAAAGTTCAGCTTAACAATTTTTACCCTCCTGTCTTGCCATGGAACCCACCGAAAAGCCTTTCCAGGACCCCGAAATGTCAAGTTCCATTTTGCCATTGGTTCTGTTGCTTGTACATTACCGGGTGGCACGCTATGTTCATCTTGATATTCCGAAGTCATTGCCTCTGTGCACTGGCCTACTTGCTTGTGCATGTCAGGTGTCCCTGCTTGTTGCATCTTGTCGCATCTTGTCGCATCATGCCTTTCTGTGCTGCCTTGTTTTTTCACTTCCTAGTTGCACAGGCATTCATTTTGGTCGTGGAACGGGACCGAGAGCATTCGCGACGGATTCTTCTGCTCGATCTCTTGCCCCGTTTCTTGCATACGGTAGAACAATTGCCCAAGCTTGCGTAGGAGACTTGCTTAGAGGACTTGCACCGAGAGCTTGCTCTCTGGAAATTTGCTCAGAGAACCTGAGCAGGCGAACTTGCGCCGAGAAACTGGCTTTCTAAAAAATCCATGAATACATTTTTAGGAGGGGGCGGGCTCGAATTTTCTTGTCCGCGAGCCGAGGATCTTGCGCAGAGAAATTTGCAGGGTGCAACCCGCACAGCGAACTTGTTCAGAGAACTTGCGCAAAAGAAACTTAAACACAAAGAACTTGCGCAGAAAAGCTTGCTCTGCAAGACTTGGCCTGCTCTGTACCCATCTTCGCGTTGTCTTGCCAAGCTTCGGCAGTGTGGATGCTTTTGTTGCATGCTGTTCCAAATTTGAGTCCCAACGGCAACGGGTTGCATCCCGCAGGAATGTTCCCCGCGACCTTCAGCGATTGGCCGAAGGTGCTGGACGGGCAGATGCACGGTTACTTGGACCGGATCATCGAGGGCGTGTTGCGCCAAAACCAGCCACTCGGAAGACCAAATCTCTAAATCTCCAAAGCCAGCCACTCCGGGGGACGATCTTGTTGGGACGGGACACTGGGAGTGGAGTCTAGTAGATGGAGAGACTCAGTCGCAACAACGCTTTCTGATCAGACTCAAGAATGGTTGGGGGGATGTTTGCGAAGCAAACAGTGGAGGGTGTCGTAGAAGA